TTTTTTTTTTTTTTTTTGTTATAGGTAAAATTTTGGATTGTAAACAATAGAGATAGTATTAATACTCTACAATTGAAAAAGATCTTAAAATTTTCAGGTTCAATTGTACAATATGCTAAAACATTGATGAACCCATCTAATCATTAAATTAAATACTAAAAAATCAAAATATGATAATTTCTCTTTAATATTATACCATTAAATTAATTAATGTGGCTCTTTTTCATTATAAGAAAAAGGCAAAAAGAATCGAAATAAAAATAATCTAAAGGTAAAATAAGATAATTAATTATTCTCCTTTCTAGATGGTCAAATTAAGTTTCCTTTTTATAAATAATTAAGTTGTACCATTCTTGATCATAATAAATCCTATTCAAATATCAATTAAATATGATGATTTTCATATGTAGATAAATATAAGAACTATGTAATACTAAACATTACATACAGTATGGCTCAGTTTGTACTGAGTTAAATATATCCTTTTAAACACACTATTTGATAGTTTAAGGTCATTCCGGACCCACATTAAATAAAATACTATAAAAATTTATATACTAAAACTAAATATGATGCTGCGCCTCATAACTAATAAATTCACTTGGTGGCAACTGGTAAGTCACGGCATTACATTACCGAAATTAGATCATTTGTTATCGTAGTATAGAAATCAGCTACTACTTTTTCCTATTATGTATGGTATATCATGTAGTGTTTTTAATAAAAAGGTATTATACTCTTTTTTGATTTGATTTTACTATATTTAGTAATCTTTTAATAATCCTAATTCTAATCCTAATCCTAATCGTACTCCTAATCGATTCGATTATAGATTAGCGCCACCCTCCCTCCTTGTGAATTCGTGACTTATTTATATTTTTTAAAAAAATTTTTAATTTATAAATAATAAAATTAATTAAAACTAAAAAAGTAAGAAGGAAAAAAAAGAATTTTATGATCAAATCATGACACAAATCATAAGATACATACGTAATATTTTCTGAACATCTCACGCACTTCTCTAATAACACAACGTAAACTATGTAAATAATCTATAATTTTTTCATAATTATTTACGCGAAAATGACTTGTACAGTATATAAATTACCTCTGCTTATTTAATTTTGGAAAAAAAAAAGCGAATAGTACGAAAAAAATATTATTATTTAGTCTGAGAAAGAATATAGAATAAATAAAAGTTCACATACAAAGAATGAGAGATTTAGAAATTTTTAGCTTGAGAAAAAAAGAAAAATTATACTTATATTGCGTATATATGTATTTTTTTTTGTAGTAAAAAATATTTATAAAAATAAAAAAGTTCCAAATTTTTTCGTAAAAAAAATTAATTATTAAATAATAATAATAATTAACCATCTTTGATAAATAAAAAATTTTAAATCGAAAAAAAAAATTCTAAATCCAAAAAAAAAACAATTCCCGCAAAACTTGCAACCTTTTGTTATGCTCACGACTCTACCAAGCGATTGGCTCAAGAATATACTGTCAAGGAGATCACAGGTGTTGTTATCTATTTAAAAATCAAGGCGTTTATACCTTCGGATCGGAATATTGAAACGAAAATTGAAGATTTTGAAGTCGGTCAGGCAATCTTCTTAAAGGGGAAGCTGTGAAGGATGGTACACCGTATGTAATCCTCATTTTCTATTTTTTTTTATCTATTAATTATAAAATAAAAAAGTCTATAACACAGATGAAACTAATATTCAAAATGTCAATTCAAAATCTGCTGAGGACTTCTAGGTCGAATTATGGTTTGCAATTTGCAAGTTTATATAGATTGACTTCGATAAGAAGATATTCCACAAAAGTGAATGTAATACAAGCAAATAATATACAAATGAACGCCAGTGTAAAGGACAAGCCTATTACTAACACTAGCGATACCAAGAGTTACTCATTTGCAAATAGACGTAGGGCTATTCGTGATAGGATAGAAATCAAGCTCTATCTCGAACGCTTGACCAAAAATCTGTACTTCCACCTTCTTCTATGTTAAGAAATTGGAAAATCCCCCAAAAAAGTTACATTTGAATTTTTGGAAAGGTGGATTAAAAAATCATTATTATTATATATATATAATGTTTTTTCAAAATATTCATATTTCTAAACTCCCTATTTCTGTTACTCATCAAGATATTGAAATGTTAATTCAAGGAATTTATCCTGACAATGAAAACCCCATCAATGTGAATTTTCTAAAAAAAATTATCGGATTAATCTTATATACTTCATTTATATAGTTTTTATGATATACAATGATTATTATAAACCAACCGGATCTGCATGTGTACAATTCAACCACTCTATAAATGCTTCGCTATTTGCTAAATATGTTAATCAAAAAACTTTTTATGGAAACAAATTAAATGTTGAATTAATGGTAATCAAATTTTTTTAATCCTTTTTTTTCAATAAATAGTAATTAAATACATACTTATTTTACAGAAATATATTCCTAAGGAAATTCAAATGGATCCATTAAATTATCGTGTTGGCAAATGTATTATTTTAGCAGGACTGCCGCGGGACGTAACCAAATCCTATCTAGAGGAATATTTAATACAAAAATCCAACAAACGCTTTGAACTTGCTGATGTTACTCGAGAGTATGTATACACATAAATAATTTTATTGCAAAAGTCTTATTTGTTGCTAATGATGATGATATTTCAGGGCTGCAACTATAAGTGATACATCAAAATGGTTAATATTATCCAATAGTTCGGAAGATATTTATTTCATATTTGATAGAATACATAATAAGTATTTGATGATGATAATGAATATAAAATGAAACAAGAGTAGTAAAATAATTTATTAATAAATAATAAAACAATTTTATGGAGATCTAATATATGTCTGTGGGATCCCAAATTTTAATGTATTTCGTCATGAATGTTATTATAGATTATATACCTGTTAGGTGTCCGCGACAAAATCATGTGACTAGATTTCAGAATATGTTCAATGATGTTTATCTTGATCATTTTCTTTAATTTCAGTCATGTAATTCACGATATTATGCACCCTTTTCCTTTTTGTTATAACAAAATTGTAAATGAACTTGTTTATGAGTTATGGGTGCTTATTTTCGGTATACGATGTTGGAATGATGTAATTAGAAAATGGAATCCTGTAAAGAATCCTTTACCAAATATTTTAAAACTGGTGTTGTTTTTGTTGGTTCATTTCACGTGAGTCATTAATTTTCTTTCATTCTCTTTCTTCTGTATCAATAGGACCACTAATAAAATAATTCAAAAAATTATCCTTAGGGAAATGCAGGGAATATGGTAAAATGTTTCAAGGTGGATAATTTAATTTAACGATATTGAAGTACTTATATAGGGGCATTGTTTGCCAGTTGCGGAGAGATTGTATAATCAACTCAGATGTAATATAGTTATGCTTTAATATAGAGGGTATGGAATACAAATATTTATTCAATTGTAATTATGATTAAAATATTTTGAATCTTATAATCAGCAGATATGGCTTTAGTGAAGGTTCTCCCTCAGAGAAAGGATTTAAAATAGAGGCTCAAGTAAGTCATGTGCACTTATTCGTTTTATACTTGTGTAAATTCTTATAATTACAAGGTATTTAATTCTTTTAGACTGCGTTAGACTATATTAAAGGACATGAAGTATTTCCACACACAAAAGTAATAGTGTATCGGGCGCAGTATGGTATGATTATTTATAATTTGTTGAAAGTTTCAGGTCTTATAGTTGATGAATTAGCTAAAACTGAAGGTGGGAAAGATATACAATCATTATTTCGTAGGATCATGTTAACATGTTAAAGATACCATTAAGTTATTATTATCATTTTATTTTATTCACTTTATTTTATTTTTTTGTATATTATTAATTATATATATTCCGTTAATAACTTGATAATGCTATTATAGATAATTTTATTATATAATGTACCTTTTATACTAGTTTTCCTTAAAGATTGTGACGATATAACGCAAAATCATGTGATAGTTGAAATAATTTTTACACCTAGTTGATTACTAATTTTAATTATATAATTAATAGAAAATTATATTCCTTTTAGTTAGACGAATCAGTTATATTTTTTTTTATAGACTGAACCTTTTTGAATTATTATTTTTTTTTTTTTTGTTATCACTTTTTTGACTTTTTTCGATTATAACGGTTTTTCGATAACCGTTATTATTTTTTTTAAAAAAAATAATATGTAATATAATAAAAAATTTAGTAACGTTTAGATTAGCCTAATTTTGAATTGCTGATTTGTATTCTTTATAGTTAAGACCGCTTGATCGGCAAGTCATGTTGTATATCTAATCCAATTCCGGTTAATTGAAATTTTAATCGGAATTTTTTTTTTTTTTCAAAATAATTATTTTTTTCTTTTCTTTCGAACCGACCTGAATTTTTTCGGTTCCCCTTTTTTTTAATTTTCGTTTTTTTTTCTTGAACCGAAATTTTTTTTTTTCAATTCTTTCCCCGTTTATATTTATTTGGTTTTTTTCCAAAACCGAAAAATTATTATATTTTTATTAAATAATCCTATTGTATCGGTTGTATCGGTCTTTTAAGACCGATTTTTTTTTATATTATTTCTTTTCGGTCTTTTTTTTTAGACCGTATTATAAATTTTTTTTTGAATTTTTCAGTGTTTCCGGACCGAATTTTTTTCGGTACTTATTTTTTTTCGGATTCTTTTTTTTTCGAAAATTTCCCTTTTTTAAACCGATTTCTTTCTTTATTCTTTTCCCTAAATTTTTTTTTTCGTTTTTTGTTCTTTTTCTTTCGAATTCTTTTTTTTGTTCTTTTTTTCTTTTTCCTTTTCGGTTTCTTTTTTCAACCCGATTTTTCTCTTTGTCCCTTCCCAAATTTTTTTTTTTCGTTTTTATTTTTTTTATTTTTTTTTTTTTTTTTTTTCCGGTTGGCTTTTTTTCCAATCCAAAATTTTTTTTTCACCTTTTCCAATTTTTTTTTCCCGAATACATTCTTTCACCATTTAGATCCATGCAATTGCGTTTTTTCCCGATTCTTAATAATAATAATAATAATATTTTTTAGGTTGTATCAAACTCAATAATAAACTAACATAATTTACTTATTTTATTTATTGTAACAATAGAACGATAGATTTCTATAAATATAATGAATTTAGATATGGTAACAATATATATGTATTTTTTTTCAACAGAAGATGTAATTTTTTTAAATCTACAATGGAATTTTTTTAAGATAAAAAAAAAAATGATTTTTTTTGTAACAACTAATGTAACAATAAACTACTTATACAAAATTTTTTTTGGTAATGAATTTATTAATTTCACAGTATTGCACTACTGCAACATTTTGTTTCATGTGAGAAATAAAATTTGCATTTAATAATAATATTTCATATACTGTATGACACTCGCACACAATTCATTGTTATTTGTATAATTATATAAATTGTGTAATTTGTTACATTTATTTTTTACTAATACCATCATAATAATAGTAAAAAACTAGACCTATTCACACTGCATGGCAAATAAAATATAAGTGTGTTATTATTACTTTCTTACTTGATGGGTAAGTAGTACTTTATTATTTACGAACTATTACAAAAAATAAAATTGCGAAAAATCGCTTATTACATAATGTAAATGAGAAAAATTTATTATTCAATGATTGTTAATGCTTTTTTGATTTTCAATACGAAAATAACGTCCAGCGTAATTTCCAAAGTATAATATAACTATCTGCACTATGAAAAACATACAAAATAAAATTTATATTATCAGCACAAAAACTGCATGAATTTTTTTTGTAGGGAGGCCGCGTTATTCTATAGTACCAGCAAAATCAGAAACCAAAAGTAGCATATGAACAGGCATGGATTTCTGGTTTCTTTGGATCATCGGTTTTATCTGCAATTATTACCATAATCGCGTATGTACTAGGAAGTTGTGGTGTCGGAACATCTGGTACATCAATTGAAAATGGAGCTCCTTTCGCATAATAAAAATCCAAAACCTTAGTGTAAAGTTCTATGATATGCTCATCAGTATACGCAATTAAAATTTCGGTTTTATAAGGAGTGATTTCATAACCTAACATTCCTCCTTCAACTGTATAATTAACGGGTTGATTAGACACAGGAGGGAAAGGATTAAGGTTTGCATAGATGTAAGAGCCTTCAGGAGCTGGACATTGGTCACCTACGTCTCCAGCTCTTTTAAGAAGTTGATATGGAACGGCATTGACCATGGCAAGTGCAGCCAATAAAAGGAATGCAAATATCAAATTTCGGTTCATGATTACTTTGCGAAGAAGATAGTTTGAAAAATATCTGCTGGGTTGAATTATTTCTTTTGTGAATATTAATTATTAAATGTGTTTATTAATAATTTTAGCTTCAGAGTTACTACTTTCTTTTTATAAGAAAAATACCAGACTCCTGGATTTCGCATTTCTTCCTTTTTTAAAACATTTAATGATCCGTTCCTATCTAATTCAAGCAAAAGTATCAAATATAATTTGTCTAATTCAATGTTCATACTAAATTAAAAATATGAATCGATCAACCCGGGATTAACTCATTGATTTCCGCCGGTTGTCAATGTACAACTGGGGGGGGTCTGTTCACATTACCGACAATCATTTTACCAACAAAATAATAACATAATTTTAAGTATGTAATAAAATAAAGTAAGATTGAAATAATTATTTAAAATAAAACTTTTATTAGTTTATTATTTATTATTAATTAAATAATATAGTACAGTACATTATTATATTCAATTAGCATTTTGAAATACTCTAGAATGCTTACAAAAAAAGCAAATTATATAAACTGAATTAAGAAAATTATTAAGAACAATTTTAAGTACATTATATTATGAAGCTGAAGCTGAAATAAATTTTTTAAAAAATAAAATTGATAAAATTAAACATTGAATTCAATTTATTTTATTAGTATATATAAATATCATAGTATTTCACATTTTGTTATATATTAAACATATAATACATATACTAATTATAATACCAACATTTCTTGTCAAATATGTATAAATAAGAATAAAATTTTTTTTTGATGTATATATTAAATATGTATTTTAATTTTCATAACTGAAGTGGGTAGTGAAATAGTAAATAAATACTGCAAGTGTTGATGGTAAAATGAGACTAGGTAAAATAAGTGTTGGTAAAATGATTGTCGGTAAAATGCATATGGGCTAATCAGACGCATTAGCCAGATGTCACGTGATAAAATCAAATCATGATTATTTTAAATTTGAATATGATCGACATTTGACAATATTTGTGAATTGTGAAACATCAAAAAGTCAAAAAGAATAAAAAATGTCTACGTCGCCATCATTGTCGTCTACGTCAAAGAAATTTCCTTGTTCATTATGCCAATTTTCAAATAATATAAATACTCTTTACACAAAAAATAAACTTTCTTCACATCAGCGAAAGTTTCACCCAAACAACTGTATCATTCCTCATATTCAACAGTCGTCTTTAAATAACATTCCAGAGATTCAAGTCAAGAATTTTTGGAACTCACTATTGTTAAGAATAGAAAAGAAGCTTTCATATCATAGATCAGGAAGTGGAAGTAGAAAAATAATATTTGAACCTTTTAGTGAAGAATTATTTGTCAAAATTTTTTCACAAGAAGAGAACTTTACATTTATTTCTTACTTGAATAAATACAAATGTGTTTTTACTGGAGAACTAGGGTATAAACGCTTGGGATTTTTATTTGATTGTGAAGATTGGGGTGAAAAAAAGCATGTAAGTCGCACCAAAGCATATGTATTTATGGAATATGAAGAAAAGCAAAAGGAGGTCTCTTTTGTTTGGTCAGACATTATAGTTACTAGAAACCATGATGGTAAAGAACCTTTAACTTTAAATAGTCCGAAATTAGCAGTTTCTTTTAATATTTTAACTGGTTACTTTCAAGATAATAATATTGATGAAAATTGCACGAGTGAAGGTGATTTACACATAATTTTATTTATATTAATTCATACTTATTAACTAATTTACATTATTTTACACAGGAAATTCTAGCTTAGAAATGTTTGTTCAATTTTTTCTTTCTTTAAAATTGCTTTTCTATTGGTATAAATGAATGGTAAATATAGATTAAATTTTTTTTTTTTTTAATGTAAATAAAAAACATAAATGAAAACTTAGAGCGAAAATATAGCAATAAAAAAGATATATTTATTACCTTTAGCTTCTTTTTTAGCGTGTAATTCTTTTTTCCAATAAATTTCACGTCCATTGTGGATTAAATTTGATTTTAATCATTCTTTTAAAACAATTGTTTTTTGTACAATGGATTTTGGTGTATCATTCATTAAAAAATAAAGCTGTCGATTTTCATAAATTAATATATCATGAACGACAGAATTTGCTTTATTACCACCACCCATTGTTGTTGCACCAAAAAATATACGAACCTATAAATTATTAATAATTATACTGCAACACATAATACAAAATAAATATAATAACTATTACTTACATGCATATGATTTTTCTTTTCAAGACTAGAAGTAGAAAAATGTCAGAATTGTAAGTTTTTACTTTTTAAAATATGAAGAAATTGAGGAATATGACATGTAAGTATATACATATATGGGTAATATCAGTTGGATTAAACATTCCTCTTTTTTGATTAGTACTGTTTGATTTTCCAACAGTTGGTTCACAGAATTTTAAAATCCAACTTTTAGCTGCTTGTTCAAATGAATCAATCTCTTCATCAGTAATGTGATCTTGACGTAAAAATAAATATAAATGTAAAAATTCACGCCATAAAAATTCCATTTTCTTGCCACGCTCACCAGAAACAAATTTAGATACTTCAAAATTTTCAAGTACATTTAATTTTTCAGTACCATTTAACGTAGTCCAATCATATTTGCTTTTTGTTTTTGATTCATAAAATTGAAAGTGAGTTAATCCTATCCGATGCATTTCTTGTTCAATTAAAGTAGAAGTACTTTTTTTAAATTGATTTATGTCTTCCATAAGTTGATAAAAAAAGCAACCAAATAAAACATCAGTAATTCATAACATGATGTGTAATTCATCGGGCACCCAATTTCCAGTTTTATCACAGGTCGAAAAGTGAAAAATCAGGCATCAATCAGTCACCAATCGGTCACTAATCAGGTACCTGATTGGTGACCGATTGGTGACTGATTGATGCCTGATTTTTTACTTTTCGACCTGTGTTAATCATAGGAAATAAGCAAGGATTTGCGTGTCCTAATAAATAATATATAGTAATTCATTATTAAATACTAAACAATTTATTTTTCGCTTTAAAATAATATTACTTACCCATTTTGTTTCCAGTAATATTCCATGAATGGTTCATATTGGAGCGTAGACATTCACAATATAAACAAAAAAAATTTGAATTTGCAGCCTTAATTCTCATAACCAATGCCATAAATTTCCAGTCACCAGAAAAAAACAATTCAACTGTCCAAATAACATCATCACAATCTTTAAATCCATCTTTTATTTCATCTAATTCATTAATAATTTGAGATACTGCAAGTGACAAATATTCATATTTCTCTTTTCTAATATATAAAAGAATACTTAAAAAAAATTCAAACATTTAAATTAATAAATAATAATCAACATATCCACCGATCTGCGGAATTAACAAAATTCGTCTAAATTAAGGAATTTGACAATAATTTAATAAAAATTAGGTAAATTAAGTTTTGCAAAAATGATCACACTTGTGTTACATGATCATATGACAGATATTAAGAAATTACTTCAACAAAAAGTAGCGTTAAAAAAATTTTTTTCTTTCGTAAACTCCCTATTAAACTTCCCATCAACCCCCATCAACTTTTCAAACAGTTTTTACATCAAGTAAGTTGAGAATTTTTGCAAGTATATTTGTAATTATTTTATATTAGATACAACTTGGAGCTGTTTTTTTATTTTTTTTTTATAGTTTATAGAAAAAATTTATTTAGAAAGCAAAATTATTCAAAAAAAATCTTTTCAATAAATAAATAACTCTAAATATTTATAACGATGTTTTAGCGAATTTAGATTATGTATTGATTAGTTGTTTAATTAAAATCTATTTGATATTTATTATTAATTATTTTTCAGTTAATTTTTTTTTGTTAAATCATTAAATATTCTGAATTTTGTAAAGTTTTCTTTTGTTTTTTTTAATAAACTAACTTTATAATATTTTTTTCCTTTTTTTTCTAGAAACTCCTTCTACTGGTTTTGGGTTAAAGAGGTAAATATTTTGGGAGAGGTCTTAAAAGTTTTTTTATATATTTTTGACATTTTTTCTTACATAGGAACGGGTTTTGATCAATTTTAATCGGTACTGCGCCACATAACTGATGATCGGCAAATTCCGCAAATTGGCGGATATGATTAAATAATTAATTAATAATAAGCTTACCAATATTGATTGCTTGGTTTTAAAACCTCATCTTTTTCATTTAATAGACATACTGTTAACATTACATGTGAATATTGGTAAATTACAATATGTTCATCTCCTCCTAATTTTAATTTAATTGTATCTCCAAAAACCAAAATAGGTGAAGAACCTTTCTTCCATATAGGAACTAAAATATTTAAAAGATCTTTAATAGATCGAAAAGAACATAATCCATTTTGATCATTATTATTATTTTGAGCATTATTACTATTAATATTAGGAGGATCTAGATTTTCTCTCGATTGATCTAAAGTTGATGAAGTAATTTTAATAGTATAATTATGTATTGGAATTAGAGAATTCATAATTTGTTGATTTGATGTTTTCGCTCTTCAATATGATATCCTTTTTCAATATTTGGATCAACCATTGCAAGACGTCAATATCCTTGTCATGAAATCAAACATTCATCAATTGCTCGAAGTACAGCATCACAATGAGATTGAAAATCAATAACTACTATTTTCCCATCAATTTCAAGTTCAATCAATCTTAACTGACTATTATTAATGTTGTTATTTTTTAATATAACAGTTGATTGAGTTTTAAAATCCTTAGCCAGTGAATGTAAACATCTATTTTTCTGTGATGTTGAAACTTCAGTATATGGATGCTTTCTATTTATTATAATAGGTACATCAACATTTTCTCTTACTTCAATTAAATCAGGTATATTAAAGTCAAATAGTAAAACTCCTGAAACTTTTGAGCTAGCTTCATTCCAATTATCTGATTTTATTATTGATTAAAAAAAAAAAAAAAAAAAAATTTTATTAAATAAAAATTACCTTATAAAATTCATTTGCTACACCTGAAGATGATCGAGTATTTGAAATAATTTTGGATATATTATTATGATCTTTCCATTCAATTGAATATTTAATTTTTCCATTAGGTAAATAATTAGATTCACAAATAATTAAAAATCCCCCAAAACTGTTTCAACTTTATATTTATCTGGAATTTTATATACAGGCAAATTTTTTTTACTATGCTGTGTATACTTGACATTTAAAGGATAATTTCCTAGTGATAAAATATTGTAACTCCTTTCATGTTGTTTTCTATTAGCCTCATAATAGATAAGTTCAATAATAGAACTTGTTGGATAATCACAAATAAAAATAGGTTTGTTATGATTAGGCAACTTAGATTCTTGATCATTAAATAAATTATCATCAGTTTCAAATTTCTATAAAAACAATAAACTGTACAATTAGAATAAATTTAAATGGACCGCAGATTGTTACTAATATATATAATAAAATCATCATACTGTACATACATCAATGTTTCGTTCGCCATTATTTTCAATAAGGCTTCATTCATCATCATTTTTGTTAAATTCTATAACTAATTAAAAAAATAACAAAAATAACGTTAATTCTTATTATTATATAATAAAAATACTTAATACTTTGCGTAAATAATATAATTAATATAATAATAATTATAAAAGTACTTGGTTTTGATTTTTTCCATATTTATTAAGTTTATGTCAGTTTGAAACGTTTATAAAGTTAATTTATAATGTGATAAAATATATTTAAGCTTAGTATACAACATATAGTCACATATACTGAAACTAATTCACAACCTCGTAACATTGTATTTAGGGAATTTACCAGGCGCCTCCCTAATATATCTGAAAGATAAAAAAACAAACTATTTAATATATTCCCAAGTTCACTGCATTTTGGCCAATAGAACATAATGCACTTATGGATGCATTAGCTGATCCCAGGAAATGTTAGAATTTCAAGACTATTGAATGGATAACATATATACGATCGAAGATCTTTAGGGTGAAGAGGTGGGATGATATAAGTCATTGCATCACAAACTCTGGAAAGAATTTAGCCAAGAAAATTTTTTCCTGATATTGCACTACGCATTTTTCAGGTGATGTAACTCTTGATCATTTAACCTGACCTAGTCTTCTCTTCTATACTTTTAACTGGAGATGCTTTCAGGTATTCGGACTTGACTCAGAACATAATTCTAACACCTCATTAAGCAGGATTTTGGGCTCTCTGATTTCATCGCAGAGCACACAATACTTTTTATTTCTTTGACTATTGCCATGCAAATACCAATACATATAGGGTAGATTCTGGAGTCAAAGATCTCATAGCAATCTATTTGATGCTCACCTTTCTTATCTACACTGAAGTTTAGTTCCATGTGCTGGAGTCATAATTTACTCAAAGAAAATCAATGTGTCGATATATAACAAGAAGAATATCTGAAATTTTCACGTATTCCATGATTTGATCTTGATATAGAGGTAAGATTTCTTAGATTCACTAAATTTGCACAAAGCAGATAAAAGAATCATTAACCAGGAGGACTTACCTTTTACTGTATAAGTTTTGTAGTGAACCTAAAATTGTGGAATAGATTTATTGTGTAAAGATGATTGATCACAATCCGACACTCGCCACATCACGCAAAAAAATATATAGTAGCTATCATGCAAAAAACGCGCTTTGATTTATTATTTGTATAAAAAATTACATATTATTTCATACTATGTAATAAAAAATATTACGGTTCTTTAAAGGTCTTATTTGTAAAAAAATATGTTTGAGAAAATTTGTGTAAGAATCATAATCACAGAAATAAGCCAAGCATCTAAACCACCTTCCCTTTAAATGATGCAACATTAGAAAATGATAATTCGGTAAAGTTAATGTGTATATATATGTTGTGCGTCAAGTGTTGATTTGCGTCAGATGCAGCTGACGCGCGTCAGATGTAAATCGACACTTGACGCGCGTCAGTTAATAATTGACAACTGAGGCGCGTTGGCTGTCATCTGACGCAAGTCAGCTGTCGTCTGACGCAATTTCTTTTAATTACAATTGGTACTTTTTTATTCATCAAATTAAGAAATTTTATTGTTTTATTTTTCAAATGAACTAAAAGTTTATACAATCTCTTCCTTTAATTATTCTTTGGTAAATACTCTAAATATACAATTTTTTTAAAAATACTATTATTACGAATGATAATTATATAATAAAAATAATAAACAGATAGTAAAATTTTACTTACTTAATTAACTTCATTTTTGTTTTGGCATTGTCGACCACCATGACATCTGCTTCCACAGTTATTTCCCATTTTTCTACAATAGCACCTATTACTGTTGCAATTTCCTTTACAATTACATATTGTACCTGTGGTTGAACCTATATTTTGGAGACGTGCAGCCTCTCTAACAGTAATTGTACTTGTAGGTATTATTTCAAGTTCCGGAAATTGGTTAACACCAAGGGGGCTAATTTCTCCTGCTGAATAGAAGACATTAATGACTCCAAATTGAGAACCTAACCGATATTGATTATTAATTTTTTCCAGGATTTTGCATGGGAGCATAGGTCGGTCAGTACCAAAGCGATCAATTTTTGGAACAGAGATTCGTACTAAATCTCCAACTTCATAGTTGTTTGGTCTTTTCTTTCCCTTATTCATTTGGTTAACCATCTTTTCAGTATAATTTTCAAGGTCTCGCCGAGCAGCTTCTCTTAATATTTTATGGTTTGTAACTCTCTCTTGTGATGAAGCTTCATTTGTAATGTCAATAAGAACGGGGTCAATAGGAATAGGCTGTTCTGACGTCTCATTCTCCCTGGTTTCAAAATATACTGCTTTATCTTGGTTTTGTGAAACCTAAAATAATGAAAGTTGATAAAATTATATAAAATATTGTTAAATCATTTAATTAATTAAAAATTACACTAAAAATTTCATTAAAAATCATTGAAAATTTCGTTAAAAATCAATAAAAATTTTATTTAAAAATCAATAAAAATTATTTAATAAAATTTACAATTAAAATTAATAAATTATAATATAAAACTAATAAAATTTACGATAAAAATTAATAAAAATTATAATAACTGAAAAATCAAATAAGTAAAATAAAGATATTACCATATGAGATGATGCTGGAGAATCTAAAAAAAATAAAAAAAGCTATATTAAATATTAAGTTAAATATAATTAGTAATAATAACAACTTATTTACCAAGTAAATTTTCATTAAAATCAAAATCATTATCTAAATTTTCATCTGAACTTTCAAAATCTGCAATTTTGATCATTTCAGGAATGTTTTCTTCGTCATAAATGCCTCGGGCAAATAGTTCATCAATTAAACTACAATTTCCACGAGGTTTATCACCATAAACTAGTTCGTAAGGAGTTTTTTTATGTGATCTACAAATGGAATTATTCATGGACAAGACTACTAAACGAAGCCCATATGACCAATCTTTTCTTCCGGAAGTTTCTCTCCACTTCCCCAATTTTTGTTGTAAAATACCATTTCCCCTTTCTACCAAACCTTGGGACTGCGGATGACGAGGCCTTCCATTAATAATTTTTACAGATGGCCAAAGGCCAACAAGTTCCTTTATTATTTCTGCGCAAAACTCCTTCCCATTATCAGATTGTAAAATGGTTGGAGGAGAGCCAATAAAAAAAAATAAATCAAATAAAAAGGCTGCCACTTCAATAGCTCGTTTGGAAGTTAGTGGTCTCGCCCAAGAGAATCTTGTAAAGTGATCACGAACGTGACAAATGTATTTGTAATCCCCGTCAGCGTCATATGAAAAATCAATCAAATCTATCTGTAGAAAAGAAATACTCTTAAATTAAAATGAATTTTTTCATAATCAATATAAATAATTTACCTGGACACGAGACAGATAGTTTTTTGCAATTATTGGTTTACTTGCTAAAGGATGGAAAGAAGGCTTTCGGGTGGCACATATAGTGCAGTTGTTGACAAACTTTTCAACAATTTCCTGTCTTACAAAACTCCAATTTTGTTTAACTGATTCCCATAACTGTTTCTGACCAGCGTGATTATCAATTTCAGCATGTATCCTGCATAATACTTCATACATATTTTCAACAATTAAAACAGGTTTATTATCACGCTTGGCCATAATCCTATAATCTCCTGGAGTAATCTCTTCAAGGATAAAACGTTTTCTTGCCCACTCACGTGTAGTCTTTGTATCAATTTCTTTGTTGGAAGGATCAAGTAATATTTTTTTTATTCTTTCAAAAAGATTTTCATTAACTAAAGCTTTTTCTTGTCGACATTCTGGCAGAGAGCTTATATAATTATTAACTATATTATCAAGTGTAGCCTTGCTAATAAAGTTGTATTCCATTAAAAAATTAAAAGATTAAATGTTGATATAATTAAAATGTAAAAAGGACGTTAAAAGGTAAAGAGCAGAGCGTAGAGTAGATGGTGTAACAATAGTAATTTATTGATTATTAATGCGTCAGATGACAGCAAACGCGCCTCAGTTGTCAATTATTAACTGACGCGCGTCAAGTGTTGATTTACATCTGACGCGCGTCAGCTGCATCTGACGCAAATCGACACTTGACGCACAACATATATGACTCTTTTGGTACAACCTCATAAGATCCAATTTTTTTTACAACTAGTTTCATTTCGTTAAATTTTTAATCAAATTTAAATTCCCTAAATGTTAAGACCAATTACAGTATTAAAGATATTGTCTCTTTCTAGGTCTTGAATCATCTTTTTTGTGTAGTTCAATAGTGTCAGAAATTGGATTGGATTCAAAAGTTTCACTACAATATTCACCCTCGTTACAAGAGGTGGTTTTAGTTCTGTTAGTGGAAGAAATGTCATTGCTTCTTTTCCCAGTGATTCGGTTGGCCTTCCCGACACTTTTGTAAGAGCTAAATCCATTTCTTTGTTCTCTTTGTCTGATAACGTTACATCGTTTGGTTTCTTAAAAAAAAATTTATTATTAACCAAATATATACATAAAAATGAGATAGTAGAATGAATACAAATTCAATAATAGACTTACCAACTGGTCTGTTGTAAGAACTATTCTCAAGTTTCTGATCTGCCTGATCTATGGACAATAATTCATTGTGTTCTTTGAAAGGCTTCCCAGCTTCTACCCACTCTTTGTATTTGGCCCAATTTACGGAAGACTTAAAACTTTTACTTGCTCTTTTTAGTTGTTCTTCAGTATATTGAGGAAACTGAGACCAAGAAAACTGAGTTTCAGACATATTTAAGAGTTTTTCTTAAAGGTTGATTATGAATATTATGAATGTGACATCAATAATGTGATTTTTGTACTGGAAAATTTAATGTAATACAAACTAAGTAATCATGTATAGGAACACAAGAATAAATGAGTCAGCGTTACTACCATTGCACGATTTTCTTATATTAGTTAATCCTAGTTTTACGTAATTATTCTACGGTTTACCTAAAATGCATAGTCTAAGTTTCATCTCCAATATCATTGGCCGGCAACTATTTTACACTGCGAGAAGTAGCGAATGCGAAACTTCAGTGTTAGAGGGAAAAAAAATTACACATTCTTTTGTTATACTGTGCATCAATCTCACATAACCGGTCTATGCTACGATTACGAACCTGAATTTATTGCTTGAAGTGAAGCAAGTAAGACAATATTCTGTTCCATTTTTATACCATTCGCCATGTAATCCGTAATTTTCATATTTCCATCGCAAATAGGACATGGTGAGCTTCACGGCTGTGGGTGATGCAAAATTATAATTATCAATCCCTCTAAAACTATTTCAGAATTTCAAGTATGTGAAATGCTCTAACATGGATTTATAATTAATTCTGGATCGGGTCTAGCTTCGAATTTATAAAAAGATGGCCTTTTGATAATTACCATGGTTCATGTCCAGTTTCTTTCTTATATATTTTATATAATTTGGATCGAAACTTATTTGTCAAAATACTTGGTAAACCAGTCAATTTAGCATACCAATCCAGATATTCGGGGGTTAATATTTTATAGGATATGGTTAAAGTTGCCTGCCAAAATTAGGGAGTTTCAGCATATCGAAATTGTCAAAACCTAAAAATATTACGTTTCACATAATAACTTGGCATTCAATGATCGTGTTGGAATCGTCTCATAATGATGAGTCGAATGGTGGTTAGATCATCTTTCTATGATCACTGGATACCAAGATATTGAGCGAAACGTCAAAAATCGGCATTTTGTATTTTGCGATACTACGCTATTTGACGTTTCACATAATAACTCGGCATCCAATGATCGTAGAAAGATGCACCATAGCTCGTTAGAATCGTCTCATAACGACGAGTCGAATGGTGGTTAAATCATCTTTTTATGATCACTAGATGCCGAGATATTAAGCGAAACGTCAAAAATCGGCATTTGTATTTTGCGATATTGCACCGTTTGACGTTTCATGTAATAACTCAGCATCCAATAATCGTAGAAAGATGCACCATAACTCATTGGAATCGTCTCATAATGACGAGTTGAATGGTGGTTAAATCATCTTTTTTACGATCACTGGATGCTGAGATAATAGGCGAAACATCAAATGGCGCAGTATCACAAAATACAAAATGCTAATTTTTCACGTTTCGCTCAATATCTCGGCATCCAGTAATTGTAGAAAGACGATCTAACCACCATTCGACTCGTTGTTATGAGACGATTCCAACGAGCTATGGTGCATCTTTCTACGATCATTGGATGCCAAGTTATTACGTGAAACGTAATATTTTTAGGTTTCGACAATTTTGACATGTCGAAACTATTTCAGCATTTTGGCATTTTGACAGGTTTTAGTTTTGACATTTTGACAATAGCCTGTAGAGTTTTGGCAGGCAACTTTAAGTATAACTAAACTATTTTAGTATGATGTAAAATAAGCAGGGATTCTGCTGGAAACCATAGCATAAAATCTTATAAAGGATCAGGGCTTCAAAAAAAAAAAAAAATATCACACACTAGCAAAACCCAAAAAGTATTTCTTTTGCCCAAATAATTTTATATGAAGCTTACCTATAATGCCCATTTGATAGTCTTTACCTTTGTTTCATGGTGTTATTATAGTTTTAATAATTGTGACCTATATTAGCAAGCAAACGAATAAAGATTTCTGATTTAAGTTCTTTTATTATAGGATCTTTTTATGATACCATACCATTTAACAATGTATTTTTATAAGAAACTAATAAAACAATTTTATGAAGATTTATTAAGTTCTCATTTAAATTATTTTACTTTTTTAACTTTTTAAGCACTATTAAAAATTATGAGAATATTGATTTGATTTAATTCTTGTCAGTTAATTCAAGTGGGATTAATAAGTCAGATAATAATAAATTTACTCATTTAAGTGAATTATATTTACTGTATAATTATTAAAAGGAAGCCGAGATGGATTTACTTCTAAAATGTTTGATAAATTATGTGACAATAGACCTACTATTATTACGTTTATTAAAGTAAAAGAAACAGAAGAAATTCTTGGTGGTTATATAATCCTTTAAACATGGTTTAATATTAAAAAATGAAATACAAATATTTTTTTAAATTATTTTGGTTTTTAAAAGAATTATCATTAATCAATATATGTAATATTTAAATATTTTTGCAACAGTATAATGAATGTAGCGAAATAATTCATAAAAATTTACTTAATAATAGAAGCTAAGATATATTTCTGGATTAGCATAAAAATAAATTTAATAAATAGATATTGGATGGGGGAATAGAGATATCGGTCAAAGACTGATATTCCCTATCCAATAACTAACGGTCATTAGGAGATTTTCCCAGCGTAACCTGAAAAAATGTTATGAACAATCACATGACATTTTCATCACCAGCGTCACAGTCGTTCCTTGTTTCCATTTTTCATAAGTATCTGGGGGATGGGGGAATTTTTTATGTAACAAAATCTACTTGTCACACACATGTGCGCTACACCTAGTTTCAGTCAAGTTTGCCATTTTGTGACGTTACGCTGGGGTAATCATCATTAAGAATACTGCGGAATTAATGCTACTAATACTGATTTCAATATTGGATGTCTCATAAAAATATTGTCCAGTAAAATCCCACATATTCCCAATTGTATTGACTGAGCAATAATGATTAATTGAATTATTTTTAAAACAAATTTTCTCATTTACTCTTATTTAATTTGATTTATTTTGGAAATATGGTAATAAGAGGAACAAGGAATGAACGCAAGATTCTCTACCAAATTTAAATTCTATTGTTTAGCTTACCATATTTAATATAGAAGAGAAAGGTTTTTTTAAAATTTACATCATTTACATGTATATAATTAAAAACATTTTGAATTGTGTAATGTGTAGTAACTGTAGCATTGTCTCCATCATTGGCTATATCATGATTTTTTGCTAAAATGGCTTAACATGATCATTTTTATTGATGATATGGTGCTGGAAGTCTATACTCAACAATAAAAATGCAACACTTAAAAATCTTTCAACTCCTTACAAAAAATACAATTTGACGGGTAACTTTCTTTGAGATAAACTCTATCAAATTACCGGTCAGGTTTTAAAAGAAGATCTATTATAAGCATTTGAAATTGCAATTTGAAACAAAATATGTTGGCCAGTACTTATGATAATTCGGGCCAACTTCATGCATTGTGATAATGCCAGCCCGAATTATCATAATCTGAATCGAATGTAATTTTTTTTTTAAAAAAAAATTTTATTAATGTATGACTTTTATAAAATGGTAGGTGCGTTTTTATTACTGAAATTCACTTTTTTTTATGTTTTTTCTTATTTGTAATAAAAGAATTTTCAAAAACTGCATTTTATTAGTACTTTACACAAGAAATCCTGGTTTTTTATTGGCTGAATTTCAGATCACATGATATAGAATCGCTAAACAAAATCACGTGATTGTCGAGTATATAATTTTATTGGGCTGAGAAATTTAATTAGAGCGATTTCTTGATTTAGGTCATAGTTTTGTGAAAACACATTCTATATTTCTATGGTGTTGAGCACCAAGTGGTGTTTTAGTGATTTATAATTGGAAAAGTAAAAAAAGATTTATTTAAATTACAAACTAAGAAATTTGTAGAATATTTTTTACTACTCTAGCCTTAGTGTTTAAATAATTCTAAGAAGAAAATACCTATAAGATGACAGCTAATGCAGGTGATTAATATTTAGATAAAATATAAAAAAAAAGAATTATTTAAATTACAAACTAAGAATCTTTAGAATATTCTACTATTCTAGTCTTAGTGTTTAAATAAAGCTAAAAAAGAATAAAATAAAGAATAACTTTTGTTGAATGCATGATATCAAATATTATTTAAAAAAAACTACAAATCATTTTCTTAAAACGCAAATAATTATAATTTTCATCTGTTTTAATATCTAATAATTATTAAATAAATAAAATTAATTTCACATAAATAATTTGCAAAATTAATTTTCTTTTATACCAATATTACATACCTAATTATTTGTCTACAATTATGCAATCATCCAAATCTTCAGTTATACCAGTAGAAGAACTTGCATGATAAGCTTGTGAATCTTCACTTTCAAGAATTTCATTTAATTTTTTACTAGTAAAATTAAGTAAACGACTTGTATAGCATGCTTGTGAATGAGATTCAGTAGCAAGATTGTTATACATAATTGGTGCATTTATAAATTCCATAACATTGCATTTTAATTCTTTATCAATATCTTTAACTTTTGCTCTATCTGGAAGAAAAATCCATTTCAAAATAATATTTAAAACTTCTCCAGCAGATGGCCTTTTTAAAGGATCTTCATTCCAACATTTTTTCATCAAATCTACATAACATTGTGGAGTATTTTCAATAATTTTAGGGCGTTCACCTTCACAAATACTTAAACTAAGTTGAAGATCATGCTTTCTATCATTAAATGGTGGCATTCCAGATGTAAATTCCCACATAATCATAGAAAAACTATATATATCACTAGCTGGAGTATAAGATTTGCCTCTTAAAACTTCAGGTGCAATAAATGGTATAACACCATAAATATCATATTTTTTCAAAAATGATTTTACAGGTCGACATAATCCTAAATCACTAATATAAACGGTTCCATCAATTCCATTTAAAATATTGCCATCATGAAAATCACAATGAATGAGATTTTGCTTATGCATATTATTAAGTCCTAAAATAATTTCATATAGCATATATAACTTTTGATACCAATCATTTTTGACTATTCTTGTTAAGTTTCCCCTTAAATTACCTTTGCTTGCATAATCCATTACTACCATATATTTCAAAGTATCTGGATCTTTTGTAAATCCATAAAAATAAATAATATTACATGAATCTAAACAAATTTCATGATAATTCCACTATAAAAAATAATAATCCATTAGTATAAGTAAATTATAATTTGAATTAAAAAAAATAAATAATTTACTATCATACTTCATTTAAAAATTCATTTAAATTTTCATTTAAATTATTATGACATTTAAGAATTACTTCTTTATTATTATTTAACCAAATAGCTTTGTATATAATACCAAATCCACCTTCATCAAGATATTCAACATTTATAAATTTATTATAAGGAATCCATTTTAAATTCTTTTTAAGAATAAAGTCATCCAAAAGTGAATCTCCACTTTTTCCAAATCTATAAATTTAAATAAATAATTAAATTATATTAAAGTTTATATTAAACACTAAAAATTTAAGAATAAAATTAACATTTACTCTAAATTTTAAATAGGAATTTAATATAACGCATATCTTAAGTTTTTGTATAAATAAATACAATAATAACTTATATTTTACAACTTACCAACTAAAAATAACAGAAATTTTTAAATTAAAGAATTCAATTAATAAATAGTAAATATTATATAAAACATATAACAATAAAAATAACAAATAACCTACAAGCTATATAAATAATTTATTAAATAAAGATTTAAGTTATTAATATTATATAAATTAATAATAATAAAATTAAATAAATAACTTACGCCCTATATTATTAAATAATTTATTAAATAAAGATTTAAGTTAGTAATATTATATAAACAAATAATAATAAAATTAAATAAATAACTTACGCCCTTTATTATTAAATAATTTTCAAATAAAAATTTTAGTTAGTTTAAATTATATGTGAATATTATATAAATAAGTAATAATGGAATTAAATGAATAACTTACCCTCTATATTATTAAATAATTTTTTAAATAAAAATTTTAGTTAGTTTAAATTATATGGAATATTATGTAAATAGGTAATAATATAATTAAATAATTAACTTACGCCCTATATTATTAAATAATTTTTTAAATAAAAAATTTTAGTTAATTTGAATATTATATAAATAAGTAATAATGGAATTAAATAATTAACTTATAACTTAACTTACCACCTAAAAGAAATTATAAAATAATTTTTTAAGTAAAAGATTTAGTTTTAAATTATAAAATTATATGTAAATATTATTATATAAATAAGTAATAATAGAACTAAATAAATAACTTACACCCTATTAAATAAAGAATTTATTTATATTAAATTATATACAAATATTATATAAATAAAGTAATAATAGCATTAAATAAATTACTTACGCCCTATGTTATTAAATAATTTTTCAAATAAAGAATTAAGTTAGTTTAAATTATTTGTGAATATTATATAAATAATTAGTAATAATAGAATTAAATAAATAATTTATGACTTACTAACTATAGGAAATGGAAAAATAATTTTTTAATAATGGATTTAGTTCAAATTATGCAAATATTATATAAATAAGTTAAATAAACAACTTATAACTTACTAACTATAGGAAGTTGCAAAATAATTTTTTAATGATGGGTTTAGTTCAAATATTATATAAATATGTAATAATAGAATTAAATAAATAACTTACATCCTATGTTATTAAATAATTGTTAAATAAAGAATTTAGTTAGTTTAAATTACATGTAAATATTAAATAAATAAGCAATAATAGAATTAAATAAATAACTTACGAGCTATATATTATTAAATAATTTTTTTAAATAGAGAATTTAGTCAGTTTAAATTATATGTAAATATTATATAAATTAAATAAATAACTTATAACTTATCAATTACAAAATTAAATTATATGTTAATATTGCATGAATAAGTAATAATAGAATTAAATAATTAACTTACGCCCTATATTGTTAAATAAATTTTAAATAAAAAATATAGTTAGTTTAAATTATATAATATTATATAAATGGGTAATAATGGAATTAAAATTAAATAAATAACTTACACCCTATGTTATTAAGTAATTTTTAAATAAAAAATATAATTGGTTTAAAATATATGTAAATATTTATAAATAAGTAATAATAGATAACTTACAAGCTATATTATTAAAATAAAGAATTTAATTAGTAAATATTATATAAATAAGTAATAATAGAATTAAATAAATTACTTATAACTTACAATCTATTTAAATAAAGAATTTAGTTAGTTTAAATTATATGTAATTATTATATAAATAAATAATAATAGAATTAAATAAATAACTTACGTCCTGTGTTATTAAATAAATAAAGAATACAGTTAGTTAAATTATATGTAGATATTATATAAATAAATAACTTACGTCCTATGTTATTAAATAATTTTTTAAATAAAGAATTTAGTTAGTTTAAATTATATGCAAACATTATATAATAATTAATAATAGAATAAAATAAATAACTTACGCCCTATGTTATTAAATAATTTTTTAAATAAAGAATGTAGTTAGTTTAAACTATATGTGAATATTATATAGTAAATAAATAATAGTAACTTACGCCCTATGTTATTGATCAATTTTTAATAAAAATGTAGTTAGTTTAAAGTATACTTAAATATTATATAAATAAGTAATAATAGAATTAAAATAAATAGCTTACAAACTATATTATTAAAGAATTTAGTTAGTTGAAATTGTATGTAAATATTATATAAATAATTCATAACAGAATTAAATAAATAACTTACGTCCTATATTATTAGATAATTTTTTAAATAAGAATTTAATTATTTTAAATTATGTACAAGTATTATATAAATAAGAAATAATAATAGAATTAAATAAATAATTCATAACTTACCAACTAAAAGAAATTACAAAATTATTTAAAATAAAGAATATAGTAGTTAGTTTAAATTATATGCAAATATTATATAATTAAGTAATATAATTAAATAAGTAACTCATAACTTACTAACTAAAAGAAATTACAAATTAATTTTTTGAATAAAGAATTTAGTTAATTTAAATATAAACAAATATTATATAAATTAGTAATATAAAATTAAATAAATAATTTATAACTTACCAACTAAAAGAAATTATAAAATAATTTTTTAAAATAAAAAATTTAGTTAGTTTAAATAAGTAATAATAGGATTAAATAAATAACTTACATCCTATATTATTAAATAATTTTTTCATATAAAAAAATTTTGTTAGTTTAAATTATATATAAGTATCATATAAATAAGCAATAATAGAATTAAATTATAACTTACCAACTTTCAAAATAATTTTTTAAATAAATAATTTAGTTAGTTTAAACAATATGTAATTATTATGTATATAGATAATAATAGAATATTAAATAACTTACGAGCTACATTATTAAATAATTTAAATAAAATTTTAGTTAGTTTAAATAAGTAATAATAGAATCAAACAAATAACTTACATCCTATTTTATTAAATAATTTTTAAATAAAAAATTTAGTTAGTTTAATTATATGTAAATATTATATAAGTAAGTAATAATAAAATTAAATAAAATAACTTACGGCCTATATTATTAAATAATTTTTTAAATAAAGCTTTGATTAATATAAATTATATTTAAGTATTATAAATACTAAGTAATAATAGAATTAAATAAATATCTAACAAGCTAAAATAATAAAAATTTTTTAAATAAAGAATTTAGTTAGTTTAAATTACATGTAAATATTAAATAAATAAATAATAATAGAATAAATAACTTACGAACTATATTATTAAATAATTTTTAAATGAAAATTATAGTTAGTTTAAATTATATTTAAATATTATATAAATAAGTAATAATAGAATTAAATAAAACACTTATAACTTACTAACTAAAAGAAATTACAAAATGATTTTTTGAGTAAAGGATTTATTTAGTTCAAATTATATTTAAATGTTATATAAATAGGTAATAATAAAATTAAATAAATAACTTACACCCTATATTATTAAATAAGTTTTTAAATAAAGCGTTGATTATTAATATAAACTATATTTAAGTATTATATAAATACTAAGTAATAATAGAATTAAATGAATAACTTACAGCCTATATTATTAAATAATTTATTTAGTTAATTTAATTTATATGTAGATATTATATAAATAAGTGATAAATAATAAAATTAAATAATAACTCATCACTTACCAACTAAAAAAATTGCCAAAAAATTTTTTAAATTATATTTAATCATTATATATATAAAGTAATATAGAATTAAATTTATAATTTATAACTTACCAGCTAAATAAATTACAAAATAAATTTTAAATAAAGTATTTAGTTAGTTTAAATTGTATATAAGTAATAATAGAATTAAATAAATAACTTACGCCCTATATTATTAAAATAAAAAATTTAGTTAGTTTAAATTATATGTAAATATTATATAAATAAGTAACAATATAATTAAATAAATAATTTATAACTTACCAACTAAAAGAAATTACAAATTAATTTTTTAAATGAACAATTTAGTTAGTTTAAATTTATGTAAAATATTATATAATCGCGTAATAATGGAATCAATTAGATAACCTATAACTTACAATCTATTTAAATAAAAAATTTAGTAAGTTTAAATTATATGTAAATATTATATAAAGTAATAATAAAATTAAATAAATAACTTATAACTTACCAACTAAAAGAAATTATGAAATAATTTTTTAAATAAAAAATTCATTTAGTTTAACTTATATAAATATTATGTAAATAAGTAATAATAGAATTAAACAAATAACTTACTCCCTATATTATTAGATAATTTTTTTTTAAATAAAGAATTTAATTAGTTTAAATTATATGTAAATATTACATAAATAAGTAATAGTAAAATTAAATAAATAATTTATAACTTACTAACTAAAAGAAATTACAAATAATTTT